CAACACTCTGTCACACAGCGGCCAAATATTCCAGGTGCCATCAGGAGGTCCAGCAGTGGGGCCAGGACACAAGGAGCTCTCCCACTGTTGCCCCCCCCCCCCCAAGCACCAAGAATACAGAGCATCACTGCCCCAGACCGAGAGTTCCTATCTATACCTTGTGGCTAACAGCCACGGATGGATCTCTGCTCCGTATGTTTATCTAATTCCCTCTTGAAGCCGTCCATACTTGTAGCCGCTGCCACCTCCTGTGGCAGCGAGTTCCATGTGTTAATCACTCTTTGGGTGAAGAAGGACTTCCTTTTATCCCGTTCTACCCGACTGCTCAGCAATTTCATTGAGTGCCCACGCGTTCTTGTATTGTGAAAAAGGGAGAAAAGTACTTCTTTCTCCACCTGCTCTATCCCATGCAAATCTTGTAAACCTCAATCATGTCACCCATCAGCCGTCGTTTCCCCAAGCTAAAGAGCCCCAAGCGCTTTAACCTTTCTTCACCTTCACATCCCAAGGTTCCAACCAGCGTTCCCTCTAAGCTGAGTTAGTGTGAGCTAGCTCACAGTTTTTTAGCCTTCAGCTCACAGATTTTTGTCTTAGCTCAGGAAGGATGGCTCCAGAGCAAACTTACGCAGTAGCCAAATCGCTTGCTCACAACTTTATTGTCAGTAGCTCACAAAGTAGAATTTTTGCTCACAAGACTCCACAGCTTAGAGGGAGCAATGGTTCCAACCACCGTCTTGGAGTCTCCAGACCACAAATCCACGGGTTCGTATCCCCTACTTGGTCTAGGAAGCACCATCCAGGTCAGCGGGATCCCTGGGAAGATTAAAATCTCAGAGAAAGAGGCTGGACTGCGTATGGAACATGCGATTCTGTTCTGTCCAAGTGAGACCACTGATCCACCACTGCACCCTTAGCTGCAGGTGCCAGAAATCGAACCCGGACCCTTCTGCAAAGCAAGACCAGATCTCTCACCACTGGGCTTTCGCCCTCGGCACAGGGTGGAGGCTGGACTTTTGCCTCTCAGTTCTTCCCCCTTGTCCATCAGAGTTTTCTGCTCCCATTAGGTGCCACTGTCTGCCGCATCCGACCCTGCAGTGTAGGCTCAGTCTCCAACATCCCTCACAAAGGGGATTCCAAGTGGAGAGCTTGCAGGTATGCTCAAGAAGAGAATCAACTGTGATTCACATCACGCCTTCTAAGCAAAACACTTTGCCATTATCGTCTCAGTCACCTGTTCCGACGGCCCTGCAAGGTAGGCTGTAGTTAGCGTAGCGTGGTGGCTAGAAGGTGGGCTGGGGAGACCGCCAGGCAGCTCCTGATTTAAAGCTTGTTTTGGACATCATTCGATTACATGACCTTGCCCGATCTTGGAAGCTAAGCCGGGTCTCTCTTGGCCAGCATTTGGAAGGGCGACCTCTGAGGAATACCAAGGTCGTGACACAGAGACAGGCAAAGGCAAACCGCCTCTGAGATGTCTCTTGCCTTAAAAACAAACCTAGCTCGCCACCGAGTAGGGCATAACGCTAAAAGAGCTAGAACTTCGTGCTGCCAGACAATCTTAGGATTTCCTGGCTATACTACACACACTGCCATATGACTATTATTATTATTAATTAATTATATGGCCTTTTGCAAGGTGCTGTTTCTCACCCTCAGCCCTTCCCGATATGAGAATACTAATGCTAGCGTACCTCACAAGGTTTTGAAACTACACATTTGAATGCTTCGTATCATTATAAAGATGTGCCATCAAAGCCATAAATGGCGGGGGTACTTGGAGAAGAACCTTATTAATAGCTGTGGGCTAGAATAGCTCAACAGACCCTCCACCTTCAGTGGCAGTCTACCTTTGAATACAAGAAGAAGAAGAGGAAGAGGGGGAAGAAGAGGAGGATTGTTATTTATGTATTTACTTTCATGTAAGCCACCCTGAGCCTGCCTTGACAGGGAGGGCGGGGTATAAATTGGATGGATAGATTGCCTTTCTACCCCATCCTTCAAAGGAGTCTCAGAGCGGCTTACAATCCCTTTCCATTCCCCTCCCCACAACAGGCACCCTGTGAGGCAGGTGGGACTGAGAGAGCTCTTTCGAGGACTGCTCCTGAGAGAACAGCTCTGAGAAAACTTGTGACTGACCCAAGGTCACACCAGCAGCTGCACGTGGAGGAGTGGGGAATCAAACCCAGTGCTCTTAACCACTACACTACAGACTGGCTCACAGATGCTGGAGGTCAGAGGTCAAACCTAAAAGGGAAGGTTGCTGGTCCCCATGTCCTGCTTCTGGGCTTCCAAACGATCTCTAGGATCAAATTTTTGGACTCTAGTAAAGGTAAAGGTTCCCTTGCTCGAAAGCCAGTCGAGTCCGACTCTAGGGTTGCGGTGCTCATCTCCGTTTCAAAGCCGAAGATCCAGCGCTGTCCGAAGATGTTTCCGTGGTCATGTGGCCGGCATGACTAAACACCAAGGCGCACGGAACGCTGTGACCTTCCCACTGAAGCGGTACCTATTTATCTACTTGCAATTTCTTGCTTTCGAACTGCTAGGCTGGCAGGAGCTGGAACTAGAGACGGGAGATCACTCCGTCATGCAGCACACACCGGTCTCGAACTGCTGAACTACCGACCTTCCACAGTCTGCAGTTCAGTGTCTTAACCACTTGAGCCACCGCAGCTCCTTTTGGACTCTACAAGGATCTAATTTTTAACAGCTCCGCTTCTTTCCATAAGGGGAAGAGGCCCACTGACGGCCAGGAGTCTTAATGCTCAATGGAACGCCCACGTTCAGAGGCAGTCTACCTTCTCTGGATACCAGATATTGTAGGAGGAGGTCCCACCAACGGCCATTTGTCTCCGTGGCCAGTAGAACCTCCATACTCAGAGGCAGTCTATCCCATGTAACAAAGGCCCGGAGCGAATCACAGTGGAAGGCCATCACATTTGCGACCAGCGTTTGGGTTTCATGGAAGCATCAAGCTAACCGTGGTGGAAAACAGAATGCTGGATTGGAAGGACCTCTGGTCTGATCCTGCGAAAGAGTTCCGACATTGCAAAGTACTAAATGACTACAGGGTTCCCCAAGGCTCACCTCTACTTTTTCCCCAGTGCGGCGGGCAGGAGGACCGCTCTATGTGTGATGCAACCTGACACACAGGTATGGTGCCAAGGAGGTCGATTCTGCTGGAAAACCTGGCCCGGATCGCCAGCCCAGGTCACAGTGGGAAGGAGGCGCCTCCCTCGGCAGGAGTCGGGCTCCAGAGTAGCATAAATATCACTGCTAATGAGCCAATTAGTTACGCCAGGCTGGGGAAATATTAGGCACCATAACAGATTGGCCCATAAATCAAGAAGGCGTAGTAGCATCCCATTGCAACCCCGCTCAAGCAATGACGCTGCCTTTTGCTCGGCCGATGCTCCAAGGGCCCGAAAAACACCTCCAGGGACCCCCAAAATCAGATCCAAGTAGATCAGGATGCCAGCGACATCCAATTAAACATGTATTTCCCCACCTCCTCGATTTATGTCGCGCGCGGCCGTTCCTTTGGGCAGAGTGGTAGAAAGGCGAATGCCACAAGCAGGGTTCCCTCTAAGCTGAGTTAGTGTGAGCTAGCTCACAGTTTTTTGGCCTCCGGCTCACACATTTTTGTCTTAGCTCAGGAAGAATGGCTCCAGAGCAAACTAATTTATGCAGTGGCCAAACTGCTTGCTCACAACTTTAATGGCAGTAGCTCCCAAAGTAAAGTTTTTGCTCACAAGACTCCACAGCTTAGAGGGAACACTGGCCACAAGCCGGCCTACGCTGAGCCTAGCCCGCTGGGGCCAAGCCCTCGATAACGCCAAGGGGTTCAGTCGAAAACCACATGATGCTAAGGTGCATGCCCCTGAGCATGCACAAAGTATTTTCCCCGCCTTGCTGAGTGAAGGCAGCCAGTCTCCAATTTAAATCACAAGAGCAATAGTAGTAATAACTCGGGGCTACGAATTGCTACCTTATCAGCCCTGGAATGAAACTGGCTCATTTCATTAGCAAGTCCTTATATCTGTAACCGGAAGAGGAGAGAAACTGTTTTGGTTGCTAAGCAGTGATTCATCCTTTGTGCAATGTTTGTTTTACAGATCTGGCAGACAAAAGAGAGAATTAAACCGCAGATCTACCTGGTTTCCTTTCTGATTAATTGAGCTCCCAGGTCAGGAATTTGAGAAATACACATGTTCAGACATGTGTATATTCCGGGGTTTCCTTCCCTCCCCATTGTCGATGTGTTCTTTTCTGTTTGTTTTGGTGGATCTTGTAAAAGGAAGAAATGTAGAATTGGGCGTGGGCAGGGTAGAAAGGGAGAGATCTAGCCCTGGAGGCACTCACTCCCAGGTGCCTGCAGAGGGGAGGGGAAAATACACATCTAATACGGCCTCTGGGGATGTGCAGAGTGCATTTCCTCTCCCTTGACTAAGCTCGACCAGTCTGGTATCAGGCGGAAGGGCATGAGGCTCAGACGGGAAGTCTTCCAGGTTGATTGCTGCCATTTGTTGGGGGGGGGGGGGAATGTCTGATCTCTGATTCAAACAGAGACGCCCTCCCCTCCGAAGATGAGATCAGTTTTTTATCCCGAAATGGGAGTACGGAACAGCAGGCCCACCCCTCTGTGCAGTTCACACGCGCCCGCATTGTTTCACAAGAAGGCGGCCGACTCCTGAGCATGCACAAAGTGTTTTTTCCACTTTAGTGGGGGGGGGGACGACTAACTCAAAGGACGGACGTGGGTGTGGCTGAGTATATAAGAACGCGCCCCTTTCGGGGTACAGTCTTTTCTTTCTTTCTTTAAAAGTTATACAGTCAGCAGAGAGAGAGAGAGCGACAAAGAAATCCGTCCGAGATGCATTTTTCCTGCCTGACGCGCTCCCATTCCGGCACCTCTGAGCGGGGGTGGGGGGGTGGAGTTTGTCTGGACAGCCCCCCCCCCCAACCCCGGCACTTCTTTGCTTCGCATCGAACCGTCTCCTTACCTGATCTGGGGGGATCCAGATGTCCCGACGGCCGGGCCTTCGGAATTGCAAGACTTTCTGCAAAAAAGCCTCCCCGCTCCGCTATCCCAGGGGAGAGAAATGCAAAACTCCCCCCCCCCCCCTCCAACTTTTTAAAATAGATGTCTTTCTTTTTCTCTGGTTTCTGCGGCCGCCCTTGTTTGCAGAAACCCCGTTGCCCGGCGCAAACCGCACTGGCTCGGGAGTCCAAGGTTGAAACCTGACGCTTTCTGGCCCGACGCACGCCTCTGGGGGGGGGAAAAAGTTTCAAATTCTGCCTGGGCTCGGGGTGGGGGGAAGGAAAGAGGAGGCAGGCAGGGGAAGCGGCCAACGGCCGTGCAGGGCTACCTACGAAGCAGCCAATGGGGAGAGAGGGGAGGGCTCTCCGCTGCAGTCTGCAGCCAGACTTTGGGGTAACCGTCCAGGGTTGTCTTTGGCAGGGGATCTGCTGCAAGGAAAGCCCTCTTCCCCGGGCCAGGAGGGCATAAGGATGCCAACTTCCTACAGATTTTTTTTTGGGGGGGGGCGAGGGAACCTGGGGAGTGTGGGGTTTGGGAAGGGAGCTCAGCAGGGCATAGAATGTCACAGAGAGCCCACCCTCCAAAGCAGCCATTTCCTCCGGGGGGACTAGGGTTGCCAGCCTCCAGGTGGGGCCTGGGGATCTCCCGCTTTTACAACATCTCCAGCTGTCAGAGATCATCTCGCCTGGGAGAAAACGGCTGCTTTGAAGGGGGGACTCTGTGCCTGCTGAGGCCCCTCCCCTCCCAAAACCCCACCCTCTCCTGGATCCACCCCCAAAGTCTCCAGGTGTTTTCCAAACTAGACTCGGCAACCCGAAGGGGAGCTGATCTCTAGTCTGGAGAGGACTCTGGGAGATCTGGAGAGGACTCTCCATCAGGCCTGTAGCTAACATGGGGCCCACGGGGCCCGGCCCCCTTGTGTTTCTTCTGGGCCCCCTCCCTCCAGGGCTGCCCCCAAAGTGCTCCAATTTACCACCTGCACTGTACTTCCATTTAATTAGCTGGCGGGCCCCCCCAAGGCCCCCTCCCAAAGAATTCCCTAGCTACGGGGCTGCTCTCCATCCTGGCCTGGGTCAGGCGCCTGCAGCCAGACGCCCACGGGGATGGGAGGCTTGCTCTCTTCTCTCCAGATCTGCCTTCCCCCTTTTCCCAGCCAAATGCGCGTTCGGCCCCATAAACAAGCCATGCGCCAATGCGCGGCGCTCGGAGCCAGGGGTCGAGGCCCCCCGGCGACCCTTTTTGTCTGTCTTCGGGCGGCTGTTTCCGCCGCTCGGCTCGGCTTCCTTTTGCCGCTTGCTCCGGTCCTTCGTGTGAATCCCTCCCAGGCCCGCTGCGTCCTTTCCTCGCCCACGTCGGGGAGCGCAGGAACGCGATGCTGGCTTGGCTCGGCCGCCTCTCCCCCGCCTGGCAGACTGGCTCTTTCTGGAGGGAGAAAGGCCTCCGTTGTTTCGGGGCCGTGGGCGGGGCGGAGACGAGGGTTGCCAGCCTCCAGGTGGGAGCTGGAGGTCTCCCGGAATCACCACTGGCCTCCAGTTGACGTGGGTCGGTTCCCCTGGAGAGGATGGCCAGTCCGGAGGGTGGACTTGACGGTATGCCAGAGACCCTGGGATAGGTTTTTGGAGGGCGGCTGTTTTGGTTTGCAGTAGAGAAGTTCACTTGGAGTCCAGTTGCACCTTAGAAGCCAGCAAGAGATTGGCTTCCTTCCTCAGATCTAGGAGGAACAGAGTGTAGCGGGGACTGAAATTTGTCCCCCAGGTACAGCCCCCAAATCTCCAGGAATTTCCCAAGCCAGAATTGGCAACCTTAGGCCACAGGGGGGGGTTGGTTTCATCTGCACCTGGGCAGTTCACCGGGCTTGACTCCGGACCCTGTTTTGGTCACTAGTTCTGAAATGCACAATTTTGCATTTGAGGGCTGGAGGCCTCCGAGCATAAGCAGAGTGCCTGTTTCTCAGAGAGCTGAGAGACAGAAGACGCTGCCTGGTTTCAAGTCCGGGACTGCCTGCGCTGAATGGCAGCGGCTCTCCTGAATGGCTGAAGCATTGCTAGAGCTGTTTGCTTATGAACGTATGAAGCTATCTGTCTGCAGAACTAGAAGAAGAAGAAGAAGAGATTGGATTTATACCCCACCCTTCACTACCCAAGGGAGTCTCAGAGCAGCTTACAAACTCCTTCCCCTTCCCCTCCCCACAACAGACACCCTGTGAGGTAGGTGAGGCTGAGAGAGCTCTGACAGAAACTGCTCTTTTTCAAGGACAGCTGTTATCAGAACTACGGCTTGCCCAAGGTCATCCAGCAGGTGCAAGCGGAGGAGTGGGGAATCAAACCCGGCTCTCCCAGATTAGAGTCCGCGCACTTAACCACGACACCAAACTAGATCATCGGACCAAGAGTTGCCTTCCTAGGACAGTGATGCTGCAGGGCCGAGATGTGGGTTGCCAACCCCTCCAGGTGTGGCCTGGACATCTCCTGGAACTATCGTTTCTATCCAAGTGACAGTAATCAGTTCGCCTGGAGAAAATGGCTGCGCTGGAGGGTCAACTGTGTGGCTTTATTCCCTGTTGAGCTCCCTCTT